ATGTGTGGCTCAGTCTTTGGGTGGCTTGTAAGGTTCATCACGCAGTTTATAATAATAATAATAATAATAATAATAATAATAATAATTAGGGCTGATTAATCAAGGTTGATTAATCAACAATTTAAAGATGATACTAGCCGGGTATATGCGGACATGACAAGAGTGTTGGCTAACGACCAAGAGAGTGAGCGTCCAAAATATGTAGACCCTGGGAAACGGGATGAGCAAATAGAGGAGAAGGTGTTTGTTAATATCAAAGAAGCAAGTAGCTTTTGGAAGGAATTATGGGAAGGGAACGGAACGGGAAACGGAAGCGCGGAATGGCTGCATGATTTGAGAGCTATTATTCACGATCGCGTCCCTCCTTCAGTGGAGGAGGCCTGGGACATAGTTACAAGTAAGGCTGTAAACGTTTTAGCGCGGAAGAAGAATTGGAGCGCACCTGGACCGGATCGTATCGCCAACTTTTGGTGGAAACGTGCCCAAGGGCTGAATGAGGGTGTCATTTCGTCATTCCGTGTGATCTCCGAGTATGAGGAAGAGTATCCAGCATGGTTTTGTGAAGAGAAAACAACGTTAATCCCAAAACTCGGAGAGTTTACCAGCGACAACCAACGACCCATCACTTCTCTAAACACGCTTTATAAGTGGTTCACTTCCTGTCTGCTTGTCACAACAAACCAGAATCTTGAGGAGAACGATCTAATAAGGGGTGCGCAGAGGGGGGGCACGTGCAGGGTGCAGTGGAACAACAGACAACTTATCGATCGACCGAACAGTTGCGTTGGATTGTCATAGGAGGAGGCGGAATTTGAGCGTGGCCTGGATTGATGTTAAAAAGGCGTACGATTCTGTAGATCATAGTTGGTTGAATGGGGTGATGACGTTACACAGGTTTCCCACATGGTTGTGTAAAGTCATTGCTAAACTGTGTAAGAGTTGGAACACAAAGGTAGTGGCGATCACAAGGGAAGGGAGACAGACCTCCGAAAGGATTAAGTTCAACAGAGGGTTACCACAGGGGGATGCATTGTGCCCGAGGCTGTTCACCGTATGCTTGAACCCAGTGGCATGGAAGATCAGAGCCGCTGAAGGATACCGGATGTCCAAACCTATTAACAGCAAGGTTACGGGACTCTTGTATATTGATGATATCAAGATCTTCGCTGCATCGGAGAGTAAGCTTGAACGGGTTATGAAGATGGTTAAGTCATCTATGGAGGATGTGGGGCTTCAGTGGAACCTAAAGAAGTGTGCGGTGGCCCATGTGAAAAGGGGGGTACAAGTGACTGCTTTCTCAGGGGGGAGAGTTGTGGAGTCGACTAGAATACCATGTCTTGATGATGGTGAGCGGTACAAGTTCCTTGGAGTACTTGAGAGTGTTAGGCAGGAGGATAAGTTGGTCCTGGAGTGTGCAGCAAGAGAGTATCTCAGACGATTGTCAGTTATTTGGACAAGTCCCTTGTCCGATTATAATCGGGTGGTAGCGTCAAATCAGTTTGCATTGCCTGTTCTTGGATATCTTATGTGGACACAACAGTGGCCGGTGATGGAACTTAAGCAGATNATTTTTAGGATTAGTTAGTGTACATTTATCTTTTACTCCATGGCTCACAGGTTACGGTTTTCGCCCTGTGCTGCGTGATCAGAATGTAGCATTCAGGTGATTTCTCTGCGCCAATAATATAATATAGTTTATTTCTGACCACTTGCAGCCATGAGGCTGAATTACGGGTAAAGTAAGGTTGAGAATAGACGTCAGCATCTCAGGTGCCTCTGGTAGCCGCTTCAGGGGAGGACATACATCACACAGTAATCTCGTGTGTGGGAAATTAACGTCTCCTACCCCAAACCCTGCAGGAGACGGGATCTCCATTTATTCGTCCCTATCCGAGAAGACTAGAATATCTAACCATTTCTGATGTTATAGAAAAGTAGCAAATTCTTCTCCATTATTTTAAGACCTTGAGTGTTGGTCCGGCCGGGCTCGAACCCTCGACCTCCCGCACAACAATCCAGCGCACTATCCATTGGGATATCTAGGCGGCGGGGGAGTTTCTCTCTCGTTCGATGGAGGATGATCAAAATCTAATTGCAAAATTATTTCCGATGAATTTTTTTTCACAATTGACGTCTGCCTAGTAAAATCTTTGGCTGCCTAGTTTGCTGTGCTTTGACAGTTTCTGATTCGCCTTCATACTAAACCCACAAGCAATTTCGTTATTGAAGGGGCTCTGATTTGATTTTGGATCTCCTTCTATCCTCAGCACTTTATTACCGGCCATTCGACTAAGTTGAAGGGCTGTTCGAAAACAAGGAAAGGTTTATCAGATTTGACGGAAGAACTGTCTCTACCGTTGGAAAAAGCCGCACGAGTTCGAAGTTAACGTCTAACTTTGAAGTCACCAAACGGAGGCGTGGATCTGTTGCAAAAAAGTTTCCCCAGAGTGAAATATTGCCCCAATCCATTGAATATTCTAGCGAAAGAAAAGATCATTTTTTTGTACGCTATTTTATCTATCCCTCGTAAGTTGGAGAACAGTTTTAAGGAAGGTAAAATAATGGTGAATTATAATGAATTCAGGGCTTTTGAATACATTTTCAAAGTTCACAACAGAAACGGGATGTCACTGAGTAAAAATCAGTTTAATTTCTGGGGCTAGAAACAAAATCATTCGTAGTTTGTTTCTTTCCAGTAGTAATTAGTAGTAACACATCAAAGTTATCTTTTGACATGTTGCATTTCCTTGGCCAGAATTAATTCTAGGAAATTAGGTATTGAACAATGGCCCCATAATCCTGAAGTTTAAGTCTCTTCGAAATCATCGTAGTTTGCTTCTTTCAAAATCATTCTTAGTTTGCTTCTTTCCAACAGTAATTACTAGTAAAACCTTAAATTTATCTTTTGTCATGTTGCATTTCCTTGGCCAGAATTAATTCTAGGAAATTAGGTATTGAACAATGGCCCTATAATCCTGCAGTTTAAGTCTCTTCGTTTAGGGTGAGTTTGACATCTAAAATAAATAGACCATGGCTCTATTTGACTGTCATTCACATTACCTTGGAAAGGAAATATGCTAAGAATTATCCTTAAAACCTACTTTTCCTTAGTGTAGAAAATAGAACATCAAAAATGTTTCACGACAGAATTGATGAAAACCAGTAATAGAGCACGGGAGGAAATGATTTGTTAATCGCTCTCAGTCGGAATCCTACCATCACAATGTCGCTTGGCCAATTTTCCTAAGCCAGAAGACTATGGACGATTTTATATGGCGATAGGCGGTCTGGCAATAAAAGAGATGGCAGCCTACATGCGACTCAACTTTATAACCCAAATTACAATGAATATACGCAAGAAAAATGCCGAAATGTAGTTTCTGAATTTGATGCTGCACTGCAGCTTGTCGCACATACTAAAATACAGATTTCTGTATCATCGACGGACGGACGGATGTATGGTGACGACTTGATGTGTTACCAAATGTTTTCTGCTATATGGGGCAACGCGTTGCACTCGCTGTAACCTTCGGGATTAGGGTCAGGGGTTAAGGTTAAAAACATCTCGAGAGGGTTTTGTTCATTTTTACTTATAGACTAAACACTCTCTTTTAGACAGGAAAAATCACCGTGATCTTTACCATGAAAATATTGCAAGGACTTTTGCAGCCCTCACCAAAGAAGGCGTTGTATATGGTGAGCACTGGAGAAAGTACAGAAAGGAGGGGGATTGGATGTGCAGTAAAATTTAAAAAAAATTACTATGTGCTCACGTGTAGAGATGTTGCCAGCCCTGAAGACGCGGGAGCAGACCACGAGCACAAATTCATCTTAGATCGCTTTTGTTCGCGTTTTCCAAAGCATACAGACAGACATCGCCAGAAAATCCAGGATGTTCGGTACGATAACAAGTTTAGTGTTCTCCGTCTGCCAAACAGGAAAGTTTTGAGTTCGTATTTCCCTTTGGATGTAGAAGATGAAGGGAACGAGAAAGTATACTCATACTATCTCTGCAATGATGGAAAAGGAGTGGAACCTATTGATTGGTCGCACGATAGTGTAAGCGGGAAGTACTCCATTGGCCGCGATGACCTCGACAGCAAAGACTTTCTTGGTTCACCGGTGCTATATTCTGATGGGAGGCGGGGTAAAACCTTCGTGGTCGGGGTGGTCGGTAAGGAAGGCAACGGATTTTACCCGATGTTCCTCGAAAGAGCCTCACCTTTCAATCCCGGTAAGAAGTTGAAGCTTTAGACCCAGCTGTCTCCCTTTTTTTTCCTCCAAAAATTAATGACTTAAGGATAGCTACCAGTGACCTTTGCCATTCGCTCCGCCTGCGCATGGAGGACAATTCGCCATTATTGCCAGACATAATGCTGCGACAATAAAGTTATCTGTTATCAAAACAATTATCATTATGTACAGATTATACTGAATGCACGGAACTCCTACCCTCTCCTCTTTCCAATATCACCTGAAGTAAAATCCTTTCCAGGTATGCTTCAAGTTAAAAGAACTTAAATTGTAGTTTCCCAGTTATTTAGGATTCATGTTAGCATGGCGTCATTGCAATAAGTTTTAAGGCCTTTTTTATATTTAAAAAAAGGTTCTTCAAAATTTTCGCTTAGATCATCCCTGGCCGTGTTAAAATTGAAATATGGCCGCGAAAAGATCCTGGTACGAATGAGTCATACTTCTTACATTAACTTGCATCGAAAAGGTTTAATTTAATTGCTTGAATTTAATTGCTTCCTTCCTGCAGACGTTCTCTACCAAGTTAATATTTTGTGAATATACAAAAGTCATACATTGAGCTGCAGTTAAAGAACGAGTTTGAGAGCGATCTTCGCAGTAACGAACACTACTTAAGCAGTAGTGAAAATGAGGCCTGAAAAATTTCAGGATACCGGGATTCGGACCCACGACCTCTGCGATATCGGTTCAGTGCTCTACTAACTGAGCTAACAAGCCAAATGGTTCGTAATAAATCTCTGAAGTGATGAGTCAACGTTTGAGAATATATGAAACTACTTCTGCAGTAGCGAAAATTACTAGCTCCCAATTGGCTTGTTGGCTCAGCTGGTAGAGCACTGCACCGTTATTGCAGAGGTCATGGGTTTGAATCTCGTACAAGCCTGAACTTTTTTCAGGCTTCATTTTAAGTAATGTTTGTTACTGCGAAGATAGCTCTCATACTCAGGTTAACATTGTAGTTCCAGATGAGATAACCGAGGAAAGAGTGACTCTTTCAAAAATAAACAGAATAGTTCTTAAACTCCTTCAAAAAAATCTACTTTCAAGCTTTCTGGAAGGTATTTTAGTTATGCTTAGGCTTGCCGTCAAGGAGTATTTTAAGGAATCAAAAGAGCACAGAAGATTTCAGTGATGGTTTTTTGCAATTTTAGTACTCAAGATTTCCATAATATTGATACCTACACCAGGAAAGGTTAATGATGATTCCGTTCTTTCTGCAGGTGTTCCCAATCAAGTGGAGATTGGGGAATGTCCAAGTGAAATACTTGAAGGCAGCATGATCTTGACGTGGATAGCACCTAAAGAAAATGGAGCAGTGATAACTGAGTACATAGTCTATCAAAGAGAAGTGAATGAAAATGGCTCAGATTCTGACTGGGAAAGAAAGCCAACTGGTCAAGTCGTTCTTCAACATGAAGTCATCGGTTTAAAAAGTAGAAAAATGTACGAATTCCAAGTAACTGCCGAAAACTGGTGTGGTGAGAGCGCGAGAGAGGAGGACAAGACAATCAGAGTAAAAGTGTTTGGTAAGTTTCTCAAACGTGGCTTTAAATTACAACTAAATGAAAATTACTAAAGTAAATAAAATTAGAACGGGAAAATTTTACGTACATAAATTTGCACTGAAGGGAAGAATAAGGATTGTAGCAAAAGGCCGTATTCGTCGGTTATCACCGCTGATATAAGGACCTCTAGATATTTGAAACATTAAAACATTCTAACGCTTCATAAAAGTCCCCCAAACAACGCACGTTGTCTTTCTTGCTCATGATCAAAAGGTGAATGATAGAATTATATTGCCCTTTGCCTTCCGTTCTTTCGAACACCTGACGGGTGGTTTGTAAAGGTAATGGGAAAAGCAGGAAGCATCAGGGGACGCAAGCATAGTTGAACTTTCATAACATGCACTTCTTTTAAAAACCTATTCATAAAATTTGGCTGTTCCCAAGGTATTTCCACCATCGTCTTATAATGATCAAAGCTCCTCATGGACAAAAAATATCACCGTGATACTGTACGATGTGGCACAAAGCAACTCTAGACAAAAAATCTCAACATACGCCTGAAAGAAAATAAATGATACTTTCATCGTAGCTGAGACATAATAATGTTAAACTCCTTCAAAAAAAATGTACTTTCAAGCTTCTGAAAAGTATTCAAGGTATGGTTAGACTTGCAGTCGAGGAGTATTTTAAAGTGCCCCTCAGACGAACATTGACCATTTTATTTTGGCCTAAATTGTTTACACAATGTTGAATTGGGTCAAGTTAAGACCCTTTTTGCCATTAAAAACTCAAAACAAACCTTCGATGACCAATTTTTACCGCTTCAAAGTCGTCCAAAAATCGTCCGCCATTGCTGAAAACATGTTCCAGCCGAGCCCGCAAAAACGTCATCATGACGTCAAAGGCTCAACAAACTTATGCTTTGCTTTGTCACAACTCTCTTTGTTCGCTGCACAGAGAATCACACATATTACTTTTTTGAGAACTGTTTCGTTGTCAGTCGGGAAATGTCGACTTTTTCAGACGATGAATTGTCCCAGAAATCATCTGAAGCTTCTGTGGATAGTTTTGCGCCGACAAACGATGAATTTTTGCCATGCGAATAAAGATAAACACAGAACGGCACGGACTCCCCATGTGGCTTTTGTGGTCGCATCGCTTTATCGCCTTCGAACTGTATTTTTGCTTGTCGTAAGGGATTTTCCTTTTTTGTAAGAAATGATCGGGTGATTAGTAAAAATAGTTTTCGGCAATGGCTAATTGTGTATCCGAAGGCGGATATTGGGAGTTTGTGAAAGCCATTTCTAAGCCATCAATGTGTTTTCCCCGATGCATTTGGTCAATGATCTCATTAACCCTTTCCTACGTGTTTTTTACTATCGGTGCTTTGAGAGGTTTGAAGTGAACTCTGTTGTTGAGTTGCACTTTGGCCTCTTTTGTTTTTTCTGTCTTATTCATGATGACTATTGTTGTGTTGCTTCGGTGAGGTTTAAAGCAGAGTTTGTTTCAACTCTTTTAGAGCCGTGACCTCATTGCGTTACAAAGTATTTTTTGGCTTAGATGCAGTCTGCAAGTAGCGTTATGACAATTTTCCAAGTAGCTCTGAAGGGCGATAGAAGACTGAACCGGTGGCATTCAGTTTGATATGAAACAGAAGTGGTTCTTTGTTTTGTCCGTGAAAGGTGTAACGGAGGCGCATTCGTCTTGCGAATAAATCTCGCAAAAGTTGGCCTGATTTTAAATTCGTTTGTCACGGGCGTTGGGATGAATTTGAGACCCTTTGATAGCACGCTGACTTGGCTGTCAGATGGTTGATAGTTTGACAGGTTTTTAAAGAAATTTTCATTTTCTCGGTTTTTTGGCTGCAAGCCTACATTTTAAAGTGTTTTTACGCTCTGTGTCTTAAGCTGTTTGTNTTCGATGGTCCTTGGACCATTTCAATACCCAAAATTACCAAAATGATGATACCTACACCAGGAAAGGTTAATGATGATTCCGTTCTTTCTGCAGGTGTTCCCAATCAAGTAAAAATTGTAGAATATCCAAGTGAAATAACTGAAGACAGAGTGACCTTGAGGTGGAGAGCACCCGAAGACAATGGAACAGTGATAACAGCGTATACGGTCTACCAAAGAGAATTGACGGAAGACGGCTCAGTTTCTGACTGGGAAAGAAAGTCAACTGGTCCAGGACATCAACTTCATCAGGAAGTGTCTGGGTTAGAAAGCGAGAAAACGTACCAATTCCAAGTGACTGCCACAAACCAGTATGGTGAGAGGTCAAGGGTTGAGGACGGTCCCTACATAGTCCAAATTGCTTGTGGTACGTTCTTGCCATCTTAAGTGACATTTAAATGCATTGTTAATTCGAATCTGTAATAAAGAGTGCGGTAATCAGAACCGACATGAAAAATACAGAGCCTTTAAAATCCTTTTTTAAACTGCACACGGTGAACAATAAGTTGAACATATAAAAACTAGCAAAATGATAATATGATCCGGTAGTCCTATGTTACCTACCCATGATTCCCAGTTTTGGAAATGACGGATTGATTTTTTTCAATTTCGCAGGTCATATTAGCAGAATGGGCTTCCGACATTTATCATTTCATCTTTAAAGCTTGAGTTTGCATGAGCTGCGCCGAATATATAGCCGCGAGGATCGATCATTCCACCTTTTAATTAGGGTTTCTGATCATAAGCCTTTGTGTTCATGGGACACAAACAAAGATGTAGTTGGCATTTCGAGGCAATCCTGAGTGACATACTGAGAAATTAGGTACCAGTCTCTATTTAGCCTGGGAGGGGGACGAGGGAAAGGAATTTGGGAGGATCACATGGTTTTCCGGGTGAATGGAATGGGTATCAGTCGTCGCCAAAAGAGTGTAAAGGGGGGGACTATAAAAAACTGACGGCCAAATAACTGCCAATGGGGGAGTGGAAGGGGGATCGAAAGAATTTTTCAGAGCCTTATGGGAGAATCAGGCAAATTTTAACTCCAACCCCCCCCCCCTCCCTTCCCAGGCGATAAATAGCGATCTGTCTGTTACCCCTCCACACACGGCCAATGTTCTCTCTCTGGGATCGTTGAAACGACTAAGCACTCATGACTTTCAGCGGTCCAAAATGTTGGTACTTTTAATGTTGATTTAAGTAAAACTGAAGTAATGTAGTTATTTTTATATTTCCTCATTTTTTTAGTTTCAGCTCCTTCTTTATTGGATATTTCGTGGATTTTCGAGTATTGGTGGAATGGAACGAACGGTATTTGTTACAGTATGCAGTAAATTACTCAGGGATGTTGAGTAGCAGAAGAGTTGGATGCAAAAAAGTTGGGAACGGGGTCAGCGCAACTGTTAGAGTGCCAGACTGTCATGGCTACCTTTTTACGGAAAAATTTTATTTAGTATATACCAAAACAGTGGTTCTTTTCAAAGGCACGCTCTGATTGGCTGCACAAACTCCCAACATCCTTTTTTAGTATATACCACACAGGTAAATGGTGCTTTTCGCGCGCGCTCATTGGCTGGTTCGAAAGTTAAACTTCTTACCATTTTTCAGTGTATTGAAAGAAATAAACTAAGTTTTAATTTTTGGTATCTGTGTGGTATATACTTAAACAATAAGTCACCTTAGAGTCGGTAAATATTCTCCGCTATTCACCTCCACTTTGACGATTAATTGCTACTAATAAACCACCCATTACTTTTTTCCCCCGTTATGTGGGCTACTTTATGTCATGTGGTACAAAATTGCAGGACAGTCAGTCATGCAATAATCCCCGTTGACGTCGATCTCTGTCCTCCTATCATTTCCGTCGGAAAGAAACAAAGCCAGCGGAAAAAAAGCCAACTAACTTTTGCCATTATTATTTTACATAGGAAAAACCGAATCCGACTTGCAAAATCCAGTCAGTGGTAGTGACATCATATAGCTGATTTGGAAAGACCTGAAAATACAAAAAATCAAATAAATTTTGCTTTTAACGCGCGATACGAAAATTAATGGGGTTCATGATGTTATTTTTAAACCCCATTCTGGTTTGCTAGTGTCGGCTGGTCACGTCCTTGGCTAAGAAATTGTCCTAAAAATTTCACCCTTGCCCTCGAAGCTTCGCATCTCGGCCAAATATTCATTTTTCGGACAATATCTCAGGCGCGGACATTATCAGCCGACATACCAGCCTGAATAGGTATATTTACTAACTATTTACGTCAGAGAAACTCGCGCTGGATTTGCACCGGAAAATTTTGAAGTTATTCTGGGAAGAAATGAGTTAAATTATCCTTTATTGCTATAGTGCCTCACTATTTAAGTAAATACTTAAATGGCTATTTACCATAAAGTGGATGTCTAGCGGTGGATATTTGATTATCTACCTTGCCACTCTAAGGCTCGGTGAATATCCGCCCCCAGCCACCTCCACTTCGTTGAATAGTTTTTATAAATCTATCTGTACTTTGGTTTAGAATTTTTTTGATGTTGTCGTGTGTCAAAGAACCAACATGAAACTCTATGGTCCATAGACTATGGAAAGATGACTTGAAAAAAATCACCATTTCCTTGGTACCGATATATGATAAACACAGGACACTTACAAATCTTTGAGTATTTATCTTTTTTATCATCTTGTGCCTTTCCATAGGTTGAAGAGGCCCTGGACATCGAAACTGAACCAGACAGTTGGTTGGAGTAATTTAATGTAATATAAAATAATATTAGCCACGGAATTTAGACTGACTTACATCAGATTTAGTTTATGTTGATTAGCTTATACGAAAAAAGTGGATAGCGCTAAATGCGCACTCTGATAGGCTGCTCAAACTCCGAATGTCCTTTGCTACTCACCTTTTAGGAACTCGTGCGGAATTTGAAACTGAAAATGACTTTGGTCATCGGTGCAGAAATGAATGAGTTGAAATAATCTTTGTGTGCTTTGGTATATATCAAAACAAGTATTCGCCTCGGAGCAGTCGAAGTGATGAAATTAAATCACGTTTCAGGACTTTGATTTCCGACCCTTTTTTGGTATGATGACCGTAAAGTAACTTAGAAAGATATTGTTTACTGTCGAATCAATCGAAGGAACTTTCGTATATTTAAAATATTAATTCTCTCTAACAATTTGTTCGTTGTAAAACGGCAGGCTAAGTTTTTAATTCAACTATAAATACACTTTCGTTAAGTCTGTTCAATTTTGACATTAGTACCATAAATTTCACAACAGAAGCCGAAGGAATTCAGTAAGAAAATGCTGTATTAAATCCCCTTGTGTCTAACTAAATTGTCTCATTAACTGAATCTTTTTGGCGGAAGAAAGACTTGCAGATCCTACACACGTCTCTGCCGCATATAAACGAGCAAACTTTTACAACTTCAAAACATACATTTGAATTTACTTACAATTACTTTCCTTGCCCTTTATGGACTGATAAGAGGTATGTCTTTGTATGTCAATCGTCGATGGAAGTGAACAATGGTTTCCATAAGATCTTTGACTGTTTTTAAAGAAAAACTGTCCTGACAGCCATTGAACTTGATTTTTTTTTCCAAACCAGTACCACTTTTTTTTTTTTTATTTCAAAAGTGTACGCTGAGCGCTTTTTTTCTTACGCGCTCTCTAATGAAAAAGTGTCAGATCGTGAGAGATGCCTGTAAAAAAGTGTTTCAAATCACCATTTTCATTACGCAAATGAAATTGTTTTAGTGAAGCCTAACTCTCAATTTGCAGCAACGCTGTTTTTTCTACATAACTATCTACTTGCGCAAAAATTCCTCAGCTTACGGAGGATCTTGCCGTATTTAGAGTCCTAAATCCATCGGGTTCTTTTAGCAAAGATTTCGTCAGGTTTTAGAAAAAAGTAAAAATGTTATTCACCAGCCAAGGTCGTTCAGAATTGGGAAAAACTGTGCCCTCTGTAGGCCTCGGGCGGTACTCAAGACCTAGAGCAGAGTTTTTTCCAATTCGGACCTCCCGGCTGGTGAATAACACACACACACACACANCCACAAAATTTTCTCTCGCCTTTTCAATGCTTGATATTATGCACTGAGTGGAACGGCTGGACGCGAAAGCATTTGGCTCGAGGTCATGGAGTACGGACAGAGCGCAGCGAAATATGTGGTTTGAAGGTTTGAAGATTGTGTTCCAGCACCTTGGGCCCAAATTGTGTTCAAATGCCCTACCCAAGTTCTCGATTTGATGGTCTGTTTTTCTGTTAGAGGCAAGAAGTGACCTTGTAGACCTTTATTCTGGGCCATACACTCGGGAAAGTGAACTCTTTACCTTAAAACACTTTCATGTTTAAAATAAAACATTTGTATTCCGCAGGAATGACGAAACTCAAATGCATTGGGTTGGCCGGGGGGAGGAGGGGAAGCTTTGTACTGAACGGCGCATAAGAGATGTGTTGTGTCTTGTTCGTCCCAACGAGTCCTGGCAAAGTTAAAGGTTTACAAGAACAAATGTATTTAACACACTTTATTATAATATATATCACCCTCGGTAACACACCTTAGATTAACCCCTTGATTTGTTTACGTGGATATCCATCGGCTTCGTTAGTTCCCGCTTTAGAAAAGAGACTGCTTGATATAATGCTTATACTTTATAGTCATTAGGTTGCTATAAAGCAAACTTTTCAATAGTAAATGTGTCTTGGAAAGCAAATAGATGGTTAAAAATAATTTGCACGTAACAAATCACTCTATTCCTTGTGGCATGAAAATCTTTCGGCTATTAATTTTAGAGACTTCGCAGATTGGCCTGAATCTTCAAAAAATATTTCCTTAAGAGAAAAAAGGACACAACAACGCAACAATTAACCTTCTCAGGTCAAATCAACAAATGAAAAACTTTTGGAGATACGCAAGTGGGTTAGGGTACGATTTTTTTTTTTAATTTCGTTGCTCAATCGGTCCTTTTTAAGGTAGAAAGCTCTACGATTTACTCGAATTCAGTCACATGAATCAAATACCTGGAGTGGGCTGTCTATCGACATTTTAGAGTATTTTTTTTTTCTGTTCCTGCTGATAGGTAATTCCTTGAAAAAAACTACAAAAAAAAAAAGTTTTTAGGAGAAATTTAGGTCATCCTTGCCATTCCAGTAATGAAGATCCCCTTCAAAATGTTCATGCCATGCGGTATTACGCACGTTTTACAACGGGTAGATGGCTCACACCTTTAGTTAAAAGTATCAAGGTATCACGGCTATTATTGCCAAAGATTGAGTACTATAAGTATGCAACATTTTTCCTTCAAAACACTTTTCTTTCTAACACTTTTCTTATTTGGCCGTTGCCGCAAGTCTGCTGACTTATTCTATTTTACGCCAGAAATGATTTGATTACTTATTTAAGACACACATGCAGCAAACACATGCAGCAAACGCCAAAAAAAGGGAAATTGATTTGTTTTCTGAGAGTTTCTCTTGCCTGCGGAGACAAATCCTTAACAAAATCCCATTCTGTTTAAATTAATAATCAAACGGATGAAGCATAAGCTCAGAGAAAAGAAGCAGTTTTCCTTCCTTCCACCCTTCCTCTCGACTATTGCTGGTCTTAACGTTTCCCTTTTCGGTAAAGAAAATACATAGGACTAGTGCACAACCTGACATAACGTTTGCATCATCCAGGTGCATTATTGAATGTGATACATTTACGCAAAGAGCCCAGTCACTTTACAAAATGTCCAGGAATGTTAACGTTGCGCACAACTTTGCAATACGATAATTGTCATTATTAAAAACTGGATCATTGGATAATGCAATTCAAGACTTTTTATTGGTTTAGCCATTATGGTATATGAGCCAATATACCATAATCTAATATCTGTACATTGTAACATCTGGTTTCTTCTTACAAAATAAAGTCGAGAAGATTTGTCTAATATCTTGGGGGCGTTTTTTTTTTAATAAAACAATTATTCCACT